AACCACCTTAAGATTCATCAGCTTTCATATCGATTACTCGCTCGATTGATATGGATATTTTTTTTCGATACCGAGTATATATCGCAATTGAAAGTATCGATACTAAGAATACTCGGTATCGAAATGACAGTATCGATTATTTATTTATCTTTACTTGGATCGGTTTATCCCTACCTTCAGGCTCATACAAGTGCAGAAGCGAAAGAAATATGTATTTGGAATATTTCGTATCATTGTATTTACTGTGTTTCTTATTTATAGGTTTCCATTTCGTGTTCAATGTGGTTTCCATTAGCCAGAATACATTTTTCAACATTATTCATTACATTTTTCGTGGCTGCTGTTGTTTCTGTTACGAAATATAAACCTACCAAGAAGAAATATAGTAAACTTTTATTTCTGTACTTCTGTAACCCCGAAAGTCAATTTGCGGTACATCGTTGAAATCGTCTTGAAGCACGCTTTATACAGTATGTAACAAAAATGTTGGCGGACACGGAAATGGAAGACTCGTAAGGTGATTTGAAATAAATTTTTCCTTGGCAAAAGTGTTATCTGGGCTTTCGTTAATATCTCGTTAACAAAACCTCAGATAACATTTTTGTTAAGGAAAAACTTGTTTCAAATCACCTCACGAGTCTCCCATTTCCGGGTCCTCCAACATTTTTGTTACACCCTGCATAATAGTATAGAAAAATATGTACCGTTCTAATGAGTGTAAACTTATTGTGTCGAAACAGCATTCCGTTTAAAAATTGGAGGCCGCTTTATCAAGCAAATTATCAAGATACCCCGTAAACAAACGGAATAAAAAAGTTATAAAGACTAGAAAACATAGAAATATTAGATATAACGTAAAGACTGATTAAGAAGGCATTAAAATTATTATAAGACTGGAGATTTAAATAACCCTAATACCTCGCATATTATAAGTAGTATTGTAAAGCAGAAAATGTATATATTCATACATAATTAAATAACAAAAACATGTACCATGCCCGAGGTACATATGTTGTGTTTCATGATGGACATAATTAGTTTTCTTTAAACATTTATAATTCTGATAAAATATATTGGGATCATTTTACAAAAATTAAGTTATGTGTTTTATTAATCAGTAAAATATATACAATCTATAAAGTGTGTAAATTATTTAGGATTTTTGGAAAAGAAATGTAAAAAAATGTACCCGAGGGACAGCAGGGTCCCCTACGCCATTCTATTGCTTACAAAAAACAGTACTACTTTTAGCTCTACCAATTTTCCCTCATACTTATCGTTTACGAGAGAATCCTGGCTAGTAAAACCATGAACACCTTTTATATTGTATCCTTTTTTATTTTACAAGAGGCGCATACTCGGTATCTTCTTTTGATAAAAAAAAGATTCCTTTTCGCAAAAGATTCCAATGTGATTATTTCACATAGGATAGTGTTCTTCGTGGATAACGTAAGTTTTATTACAGTTAGGACGCAAATTGGCGTGCCCCGTTGTTAAAGTGTTAAGATTCTATCGAATTCGTGCGTTTTACGCGCCTCGCTGAGTGGTTAATTTTCCCCTCCGTCGCCACGTACTATTTATGCGGTCGAATCACGGCACCGTGAAAAATGAGACATGTAACGCAATGATAAATCCTTTTACAGTTCGCGAACGCTGCCGACATTATGGCGAAAGCGGCTGTGAATTTCTGCTATGATTTGTAATCAACGCAAATGCCTGTTTTTATGGGATCATTTGAATGGATCGATGGACGGCTTAGGTGATAAATGAGCAAGTAAAGAGTTTGAAGGACAGAAGAGTAAAATTTTACAAAGAAAATGTAATTTCTTTAAATGATAGTAGGTATAGCCATTTCTACTATCAATGTTTATACGTCAGTTGTGCCGAAAATTAATTCACTGTGTTGTTAGTACGATAGCTATATGCAGAGTGGGACAGTATCTCTGTTAACTTAAAAATATGTTCACTATTTTAGGTATATATACAGTGTTTGACTACTGGTGTCAGAAACTTTGAGGGGCGCTTCTATATATCATAATAAAAGGAAAATACATATCATAATAAAGGAAGAATGACATAATTGAGTTGGAGGCTTCGTTTTCAAGTTATTAACAGTTAAAGAAACATTGGGGAGCGGAACGTCTGAAAACCAGGCAATCTGCGTATTTGTGTGTAAACATTTTTACCTCGTTGCCAAAATTGCTATGTAGAACACCTGTACTCGATCCTGGACTATGTTTTGGTATACACGAATCGTTGTGCGATATTAAACCTGTTACAGTAGACTCACGTTAAAGTAGCAGTAAGAACGCCCCAGATCACACGCATTACTTACACACGTGCGGGCACCCCACTATCGGTCGTCATCTGTAACCAAAGTTCTGATCCAACTGGTGGATCGACCGAACTGCCATGAGATCTTGCGTGCCCATTGGCTCACGTTAAAGTAGGGTTTCCATGAAAAACCAGCTTCGAGAGCCCCGCATCGCTACTTTAACGTGAGTCTACTGTACTCATTCAAATCCACAGGACACACACAGAATAAACACTGAATAAACTAACTTAAACTAAACTAAAACTCACCATAATAAATAAATTAAATTAATACTATAAAGAAAATCGAGGACTATTTCGTGCCAACTAGATGTTTTCGCGTTGGCGACTGCTATCGAACTAAGGAAATGTTACTCAAATTCTCTCGCAGAGGACAGAGAAGTAATAAAATTGTGTAAACAATGAATGGACGTGGTACTACCTGTTTCTGGGCAACGTCGTCAACGATCACGAATGGCCAGCAGATGTTGTGATTGTACCAAGGGAAAGGTACGTGTTACATTTTCAACTGTGAGGTAGAGGTGTATTTTTTTTCGGGCGACGCCAATGTACGTGTCCTACGCTTGGCGCTTGTACACCGACGAGCAAACTCGACTTCCACTAGGGGAAAAAGTGACGTAGGTGAAGGGCCTCCTACTATGCTCCTACTGAAATTTATGGCAAATTAACATTCGATTTAACATTAATTTCAGTATCTGGAATAAATTTACCAAGTGGTAGGAGACTTTTATTCTACGCCGCTTTTTCCCCTAGTGGAAGCCGAGTTTGCTCGTGGGTGTATGTAGAGTGTCAGGTTTTTGATTGTTAATAACTTGGAATCGAAGCCTTCAACACAATTTTGTCATTCGTGATATTCGTTCTATTTTTACATATACACTACACGCCAACAGTATCGAGGCAGAGTTTACGATTGATGGAATAGTAACTCATTATTCCTTACGATATTACGGAATCAGTACATGTGTAAATCATTTCCAATCAGTTTTAGCACATTACTTTTACTAAATCTTTGTAGAATAATGCTTTTCTCTTTTGTAATTATCCGACCTGGTCCCATACTTCTGTTTATGATACGTTTATGGTATTTGATCATTTGGTACAGTGTGGTATTAATCATTTTCTTGTGGGTGCAGACGCATCAAAAGTTTCTTCAAGTTCACTTCAATTTTTGAAATGGTATGATGTATCTGAACAAGTCACTGATCACTGTCCATGTACTGTTATACAGGGTAGACCACGAAACATGATCAGCTTGAATTATTCTACTATTAGCTGCTCGATCGAAAACTTTGTTGGCTAGTATGACATGATTGAAGTAAAGCGTGGCGATCGTTGTACCAAATTTTTTTGTCATCCCATTTTTTTCAAAATTTTCAACGTCACCTTCAGTTTTTATAGATAAACCTATAATTTTTGTACGCCCATCTTTGATCGGATATTGAGACGAATGCGGCAAGCATCATAACAAATAAATTTTTTCTTCGAAACTGAAGAAGTTCTTCTAATTAAGAAACATTAAGAAAATATCAGTTACCTTAATTAAAACGATATTCAAAATGGTGTCCATCAGCTGCAATACATTTGCGTAAACGATTAAGAAGTTACTGATTAGTTCTATTTATAACGCCTGCACTGATGATTAAGCAGGCAAAACAATTTTCGATCGAATAGCTAGCAGTAGAATAATCTAAGCTTAATATGTTTCGTGGTCCACCCTGTATGATAATTTTGTATACTTTGTATTAATGGATCAAAGGTAGTATTTATTTTAATTTCGTAAACTCTAATCGTCGCTATGCTATGAAAACAACTGTAGAAATTTTATATATTTTGAAACTATAGTAGATATAACGGTAACCTTTACATGTTCAAAGGGCTTGTCTATTTCCTATCACCGTATGTAACATAAATGTGAAATGACCCTTTCTAAACTTGTAGGAAAGAATTATTTAATTATGTTCTATGATTATTGTAACGATGCAAACAAAGATATACAAGAAGTAACTTTTCTCCTGCTAAATAACACAAGAAAATAAACGTACATATTCCGTAAAAGAAATGTCTGAATTTTTTAACGTGTTATGAAAATTTACCTTTTTCTCAACTGTGACTAACAATATTTAAATTTCATTCTGACAATGAAATTTCGTTCGACTTAAAGGGTCTCAAAATTTTAAGTACACCGTTTGAGCGTCCATTTTTTTTAAACATCACAGTCATTGTTAGTTCCTGTAGTATGTATTAAACAAAATAAAAATGAAATTTGTTTCATGTTCCAAATTGTATATTACCACTAGAACTACCAATCAAGTCAATACACTCTTACGACGACGATTCAAATGTAATGACAATACATTTTCTCAGATCTTTTGCACTTTTTATTACGATATGAAAATGAAGAAATTAGTCAATTTCTAAATTTCTAAATTTTCAAAAATTTTTCACGTTTATCCACCGATCGAAGCAAATGTGGGTTTACCGTCGGCAGTTCTAGAGTTAATGGAAACATTATGGAATGGTCAGTCAAGATATCATCGACCTTCCGACATCAGAAGCACCTTTTCAATCCCGTCATAGCTACAGTTTCATGGCTCGATCATTATTCCCTCTGAATGGCCATCGGGAATAGAGCCGTTTCCTCGATAGCGCTAAAATTAGAAGCTCACCTCTTCGGGTCGGGCACGGTGCAGAAAGATCTGGGTCGTCGCCGGAAGTAGGAACTCTTGATCCAGTCCGCTTCATCCTCGAAGTCGTAACGGTAGAGGCCCCTCGGATAGCTCGGATGAGGCTGACGGTACATGATCTGGTAGGCTCGCTGGGGATAGGGTGCGTCGCAGAGGTTCTCGTCGCTGGGGACGCTTCTCACGCACGCGGAGAGGATCGAGGTACGGGCTGAGCTGCACGGGGACGGGCCTTTCGTGGACAGGCAACCGAAAAACCCACCCTCCGATTTCTCGACGGCGTCCAATTGCCGGCTGGTTATGCAGTACTGCTCTTTTATGTCCTCGCGGGAGTAGAGCGGCGTCGCCCTGCGATCCCAATCGATGCTAATATTGCCGCCGGATGCGCCGAAACTGCCGTGCACGTCCACCTGGGTCGAGACGTCCACCTGTCATGCACACGAGGTTTAGTCTAATTAGTGGAAAGTCGATGACTGGAGACGCGTTCGCAGTTTGATTGATAGCGCGGCAGCGGACACGGTGTAAAACTAATTTCGCTATGGACTGACCGCGCCGTTTCAGGAACCACCCAGGGGAATTCTTAGGCAACCCCGATTGGCGGAGATGGGAAAAGTTTTTGTCTGAATGCAAATTTCGAATGACGAAGGAAAGAGAAAAAAGTTTCGAATTGTTGTTCGAAGGTTCGAATAAGACAAGGATTCTTTATCTGGCGTGTAATGTAATCAATTTATTCGATGAGTATTTCTTCCGACGAATAATTGTGGCTTTTTTACTCGAAGAGTATTTCATACGTGGCGTCGATTAAAGTTTTAATCTTGAAAGGAAATGGTATGCTGGTTAAAATTTGCTCGTGAGGTTGTTGTGACAATTAATAGATGTAGATCTAGGCACTCCAATCTTGAATTTTGACTTGCCAAAATACATCTGGTAAATGATGCAAGCTGTACGTACGGGTCCGAGGAACAAGATATTGATTATGTGTTATGGAAATGTCCTTTATTCAATAAACAAGAAACGAAACTAATTGATCGACTGCGAACTCGAGGTTTTTTTCTTCCATTATCGTGTAATGTACATATTATTATGCAGACCCTCGGTAGCAATATGCAATTTAGTATACAGGGTGTCCCAAAATAGGTATACGTTCTTGAAAGAGGTGATTCCTGGGGTGATTTGAAACAACTTTTTACTTAGCCAATAAGTTGTTCCAAATTACCCCAGGAATTACCCCTCTCAAGAACTCATATGCACCTATTTTGGGACATCCTGTATATCGTAATGAATGCAATCTAAAGATTCAAAGAAGTATTGTAATAATAAATAAGTGTATAAACAAGTGTGTAATATATGTGAAACGTTTTGCAGAATAATTTCCCCACGGAGATTAAAACTGCGTTAATAAAAAAAAAAGTTTTAATCTGAAGTCTAAACCTTCGATAACTTTCGGCGAGGCATAATTCTTAGCAATGAATGAACATTCGAAAAGCGTCGAATCTTGCGGCTTGCATTTCAGAAATATCAATCACGAATTAGGTACATTTTACAGAGTTGTAGACCAATGTTAATTGTTTATTAAGATAAGAAGGAACATGTTTATACTTCAAACATAAATTATATAAATTACTGAACAATTGCAGTCACCATATTCAGTGCCATCAGTAAATCGTGAAAAACCTGTCATGTTCTACAGACTTGTATTTTCATCCACACACGCCGTCTCTACGTCCAAATGAATTATACAACTTCCATTATTTTAATTATATTTAACGTTTAACTGTGATGTCGCTTAACTCCTGATGTCACATGTGATTGGCACGAGAAAATCCCCTGTCGACACACTGTCGACGTCTATCAGCGAACGTGTTAGGTAATGGTTAAATTCAACAACTACTATTTAAAGTCGATGAATAAATTAATTTAATTTTCATTGCTTAATTCCAAATTTTTATTGGGTATATTTTAATATGTATGTATCTAATTCGTAACTAATATTTCGTAAACGCGAGCCGCAAGATACGATTTCTGAATGTTTATTCGTAGGTAAGAACTGAGCAAATAAAGATACCGGTGAAAAATATATTTGATGCTACGGATGAAACGCTCTTCGAATAAAGAAAGTATCTTTACTCGTAGTAAATTTTCTAGAAAGTATCTAAACTAGAGTAAATTTTCATCGAATAAATTGTTTTATTCGTTGCTTGTCTGATAAAAAAAAACTCGGATATACAAATCTACGAAAGACGAATAAAGGTAAAGGATTTTTCATTCGAATCGTTTAAATAATTAATTGTGTAGACAATGCCCAACTCTGCCAATTGGAACGGTTTTGTAAAAATTTGGGGAATGTTGATCTATCGGGTGTGATAATTAACATCGATTCAAGATTGTGACATTTAATCTGTGGAGGTTTATTAAAATTCATATTTGTATAGCAGTGACGAGGAACCGTTTTTTGCAGCGAACCGAAAAGGAAAAAGTAATCCGAACGATTCGCTGCAACCGCAACCTTAAAAAACCTAATTTATTAATTTATTTCACATTTCATTTAATTTTTTTCACTTTAGCTGATCAAAGTGAGCTGTACAAACAACTTCGGTGAGCCGCAAGTTGCATCACTGGGCTAGAGAATTTTTTTAGTACCCTACTTATCTGAACTACATTCATTGAAATTAAATTTTTCTCAATGCTTAATTTATCGAATTTCTGTGAAACTTATGATATCTAAATGTCTATCCACCGTCATTTTACTTGTATGAAAGATTTAGTTGCAAAATAGTTTCGAGTAACCAAAAAAGTGGGCAAATTATTGATAACTCGGTTATTGATTAATTATGATCTTTTATCGTCCTAAAATGAGAAATCGTAACACTTAAACGGTTGTTAGCGTAGAATTACGCTTCATGCAAAATTTTTGCTTTCGTAGTGGTAGCTTAATTGTAAGCTTTTAGAAGCTTATAGTTTGTAAACTATATTAATGGCTATATTCGTCGAGTACACTTGACGTTTTGCGTATTACAACGGTGGTAGTCAATGTTTATGGAAATATAGAAATTTATTAGTTATTTGACAAATATAGGAACCCAACATAACTTTATTTATGTACCGTATCAAGCGTTCTATCAGATTCCAAGTAAAATGAAGATCTGATTCAACATCATTATATTTCTGACTATTTCATACATGTATAAGGCCTACTGTCCACTAAGGCGTCTCGTCATGACGCTTCATAGACATTTGACGCTTGCAGGACGCTTCCATGTAGCGACCAATGTAAAACAATGAACATGTGTCCACATACGGTTCAGCGTCGCGTTTTCGTCGCTGCATGCGTTCGGCATGAAGTGCGTCGTCAACGATGTCTGCCGCTAGGCGTATAGAAGGATGCAAAATTTTTATTTGCGTTTGAGTTGTAAAATATGTCGGCCGTGAAATTCGTACAGATTGTTGAAAAGTTAGGTATGAAATATAAAAAAAATAGAAAAATTACCCATGTTTGTACATGGCTAATACAACATCGCATTTTAGTGTCTTGTTTTTTGATTCGCGGAGCTACCAAACGCATTAAATTCTTGCACGTATTTTTATTAATACTATGGAAAGAATGAAATACATGATCATTTATGTTCTATTCTATGTAAGGATGTAACCAATATCTTCTCCGACTTTTACGCCGTTGAATATTATTACAACATAAGGCGATGAGGTCCTCTTCGTCGTACGACATCTTTGCGAATGAGGGAAATGAAGCTTTCTGTACGCTTCCTATACGCTTCCAATACGCTCAAGTGAAACTTAGTGGACAGTAGACCTAAGTCGTTTACAAACATTTTATGGTGCGGTTTTTCAATTCAACGGTTACAAATATTTTATGGTGCGTATCCACTTGTTGCGTATCACTGTATAGTATCACCGTTGTTTATGAATGTGAACAGGCAAGCGTTGCATCGTTGCGTATGAAAAACTTTCCTATCATGATATGTAGACTCCGGATGTATATGCAAATTCAAAATTTTAGACGTTAATATATGAAAATCAAATACAAATTTACTTCCCGTACTAAATGTATTATTATGTTGATATTAATATATAAGTGTAAATAAGTTTTAACCATTTTGCATGTAGAAATGTGCTATAAATGCATAGACATCCGCTGTCTAGTGATATGATACAATGATACGCAACGGGGATACGATACGATGATACGCAACAAATGGATATGCGCCTTTCAAGATTTATCTAAACTACAAATTCCAGGGCCGGATGGGAGCTATAGTTTTCATTAAAAAATGTGATAAGAAAGCATTTTCTATTATTAAAAAAAAAGAAAAAATTATTTCTCCAGGCCATGGGATCGGGAAAAAGAATACGGCCCGTCCCGAATGTGTTAATTGGTGTATAGTTCTGGCGAATACATACGCTTGTAATGTTTCAACTCCCGAACTTAATAACAGTAGAAGTATCATAAACCTGAAGATGTCTCATTTAACCTTTCGTTACTAATTGTGGCTGTAGTCACTCAACGTTTAATGCTCGCTGTGTACTAACTGTGACTATAGTCATCCATCATTGCACGATCCAGTACAGTTTCTACGCGTTAACACATAATTTATGATAATAAAAAGAGTTAATTAGCATTCAAATGAACTTTCCAAAAACAGCAGATATTAAGATGTCATTTTAAGGTAGTCCTATAGTGAACCAAATTCTCGGTACCCTTTTGCGATAGACATGTGATATAACTCCTAACTTGTTATTCATTATGTATAATTTATGACATTTACTCGAAGATACTCTTTACGATTATTACAACTATTAACAGTGAATAATAACTACTGATCGTTAAATTCTCCCAATTACAGAATGCAATTATGTTCTGTTCAGTTTCGTTATCAATTTAAAGAAAAATTAATCGTCCTCGTCAATAGAACGATGTTATAAATAAATCTATATTTCTCAATTGGATAACGAACTTTTAGCTCTGACGGTTATTCGAAATAAAAACAACTTAACCGTGGCAACGCATCGATTTCACGATAGGACAGGACACACGGAAATAGAGAACGCTCATCCAGCCAGTTTCAAAATAATCGAAATATTTTACGGTTGACAGGCGTATAGGATGGGGTATCTGTCAGCTGTTTCAAACGCATGCTTGCTCTTTTTAACTTGTGCACAGCCATGTATCAATATTCGGAACGACACTAATAGCATTGCAATTTCCGTTCGACACCTCAAATCGATCTATTTGGACCATCGACGACGCGTTTCAATGACTTCAAATGGTCTCGGCACAGATAGAAACGAAAGTAACGCCAGCCATGACATTTTTTTCGAGCAATTAGAAATTGACAGGCATTAAAATATGAATCGTTACCCGAGACTTTCCGAGAACTCGACAAGTCCACGTTATAAATCTCGGTGGAATAGT